TGCATGTGCCCAACTGCCTTCGGCCTTTGTTTGGCCCGGTACCCGTATCCAGCCCAGGGCCTGCTTCACATTCATTCACACAGGCGGCCCAGGGCCTGGGTTCACTCAACCAACTGGCGCTGCCCAACTGCCTGAATTTCCCTGAGTTGCGTAGTGGCCAGAAAAGGGCCCTGAGGGCCTCGTCGAGCCTGCCTTCACTTAGGGCGGCCGACGAGCTGCAAAAAGGGGGCCTTATGGGGCTCATAGAGGCAATGGCCTCGCATTCCCTCCTCCTCAGCTTCAACAGTCCTCTGAGAAGCTCAGTCTTCAATCATAGGGCGCTTTCCTTTCTGCAGAGATCTCTCGTATTGGACTACAACTTGAGGAGCGGTCTGCATGAGCTCTTCCCTGGTGAACCATCGGTCCTCCTTCGGATCAGTGTGATGCCGGAACCGAACGCGGTACTGCAACTTCGGTTATGGAGGACGTCCCCGGCCTGCTGGTCTTGATACCGGCAGCTCTCTGTGATCCACAATATCATCGATGTCCACCTCTCCGTCCATGGTTGGGGGCAGCATAGAGCGACGAGATGGAAACTGATCAGTCTCTTTGAAAGGTGCCAGTTTGGAGGCGTGAAAAACAGGGTAAGTACGGAGATGACCAGGTATCCGGATAACATAGGATGGCCCATCCAGATCTGTCCCAACAATATCCAAGACTTCCCTGGGTCCAAAGTACAGGGGCATGAGTTTGCGGGAGATCCCGTGCTCCTGTCCCAGTTCTGACGCAGTAACCCAGACCCTATCCCCAACCTGAAATGTAGAAGGCCAGCGGTGTCTATCTTCAGACTCTATCATTGCAGCCTGCGCCTTCTGCATCTGTTCTACAGCCTGCTGCATCTTCTGTTCATAGCGGTAAGCAAATTCCAGGGTACCTGGTGCAGCAGTGGTTTGATTCTCAGGAAGAAGAAAGTCTAGGGGTAGTCTAGGCTTGAATGTTAGTAGTAAGCTGTTTGGGCTCAGCCCGGTAGCGCTGTGTACAGCGTTGTTGTACAAGCTGGCGATGAGAGCAAGCTTCTCATCCCAGTCCACCTGATTGGGCTTGATGTAATGCCTCAACAGGTGCTGCACAGCGCGGTTCAGTTGCTCAGCCTGACCGTTAGCTTCTGGGTGATTCCCAGAAGTCATCTGCAACTGAGTTCCCTGTTCTGCAGCAGCGGCCTTCCACAACTCACTGGTGAACCGGACATCTCTGTCACTAACAATGGACTTCGGTAGACCAAAGCCCCTGACCTATGCGGACATCTTCCAAGTTTTTCTTTGCTTGGAAGATGTCCGCGTAGGCGCCAGCCAGCAAATAGTGCAGCAGCGCTTGCGCAGCATGCAGCTAGCACCCGAATGCCGAATGAGGAGGCAGGCCCTTCCCTATATC